CTTCACTACTGTACGGCGTACGCTGGCCCTTATAATAAATACTTTTTCATAGATTTAGAAAAAATAAATACAATGATATTTTCGTATTATATGATGATTGCATCTACATAATATTCTTATTACCTATCTCTATGTAAATTACTAAGACCGTTGACGAAATGCATGAAACTATTTACAAGTTACACCAGCATAAAAACCCGCTAGCATACCCCCAAGCGGAACACAGATGCTCGGTTAGAACTAATTTGAAAACTTATGGACAGACATTATAAACATCATAATAACTGTATATACAGGTTCTTGCTATAAATAAATGCCATAAATAATAAAGCGTCTGCATATCTATACTAATATTATAAAGAAGTATAGTTTGTAACTTAGTTTGAATGATAATCTTGGGAAACACAAATCCATGAATATTCTTCCACCTATAGGAAGTTACATCATATGCCAGTGACATACGCTTTAATTTACGCGGACGAAGTCGCGGGTAATTGGTTGTTTAGGAAAAATACCAAAATACATCAAAGATGTAGAAATAAATGCAATATTTTACAAACAATTCAAAAAATATTAAATAGACCGAAGCTACGGTAATTTAAAGGAATTCATGAATCAGAAATAATTTACGTATAGTTTTTGTTTAATAATTATCTTGGTTTGTGTTACATAATTTCTATGTTACAACTTATTTAATTTTTAGTTGAATTAATTAAAATGTACTTGCATAAATAATTGTAATGAAATGTCTGTATTAATTGTAATTTTATGAAGCAATATATGTTGTAATGTCCTTGCAGGATATATGTTTAGGATACTTTGTATCTAAGAACATAACATGGAGCAATAACTGTTATTAACTTTTTTTTTATGACTATGATTGAATGGGGTCTTGGACAAATTGTATGAATTACATGTACTTATTGCTTTAACTTTATTTAGTTATTTTAATTAGTTACCTACTAGTTACCTGTAAATAAGATAAAAAAGTCATACAAGGATTTTTAAACTTGCCTATGAAGGCATTCTATTTGACTTCTATATATAATATAAATAAGAAAGAGGAGATTCTTTGTTTGCATTGAATTGACACCAAAACCACTGGCTGAACCTAACCAGATCATAATCGTTTGATATGGACTATAATATAATACTGCGTCTAAGACATAGCACTGGAGCGATTCCCTTAGAAAAATGTAGGAGTGTTATTTTTCAAATGACAAAAGGATGACCAATGACAAATGAAATTCCTTTTAGGTGCTGTATTTTTAAAGTTCTGAAGCGTTGATTGTAGAGGGGGGGGTAAAGCACCCCCCAGGCTTCAGGTAAAAAGAGCAAAAACCAATATAATGTTATGACAAGCATTATTTTATTTCTCAGGGGGTAGGTACAGATTCGCTCGCTATGGTTCTTGTATCTTGAATTAAGAGGGCTTAGCTTTAAGGTAGAATAGGGGATTTAGTGTTGAGTTCGCGGTGTCAGGGTGTCACTGCCGGGCAGCAGCTGGCAAGGGTAGACCCGACGTTAACTCGGGCTGAGGGTGAGGCGGGCTCCTATGGAAGAACCCCGATTTAACACAAACATAAAAATATTAGAAAATCACTTAAAAATGAAGTATTGCTGCGCGAGAAGTCGTTTATATACTATTTTACCATTATGAGCCGCGCTACGCTCCTATGTCTCCATACTATAATTGCTACAATCATTTTTAATTATTATTTTCCTTTAAATTAATTTATATATATAAAAAGAAATAAAAAACATGCAAAACACAAATAGTTTATTTGGAAGACTGTTACAGTTCAAATAATTAAAGCAACATAATACAAGCGCCCTAGGCAGTTGCCTAGTTCGCTTATGGATGGGCCAGCAGTAAATACGTACTGATAAAAAAATAATTAGATTCATGAACTATAATGAATTCATAAAAGTATCATTTTTGCAGATGTTCTCACAATTTAGCGGTACTTTTCACACGACCGAAGTAATAATAGCTAAATGGGTATGTTATACGTGCTCTATTAGAGGCGTAGGCTGCTATAAAGAAATTGCATGAGTTTGTAATATTTTTTAATCTTATATAAAAAACGGTTAAGTGCGAGCCGGACTCGCGCACGAAGGGTTCTTTAACGTCTATATACTCTTATATATACAGTGGTGGCCATATAATTAAGAACGATTTGTAGTTATTTAATATTTTAAATGAAGCCCCACTTTTTTATATAATGCTTTTAGTAAGTATTTAGTTACGTATTCAGAGAGCCAGTTAATTAAGATAAACTAAACTAGGATAGACATATAAAATTAGTAACTTTTTTTTTGTAAAAGTATATTTATTGTGGAGAGTATTATAGTATATGATAATGAAGCTGGACAAATAATTGGACACGATATACTCTTAAGTTGTTGGTAAAATGTTTAAAATAAAATACAGAGTAATTGTATTGCTAGTTATAATATTAAAAAAAATGTACTTTTAAAATAAATAAAACAAATTTGTATTTGGTCGCATGTCCACGTCTCTTAATGACTGCTTTACACCCACGTGGCATGGACTCTATCAATTTTTGACATTTTGCATGTCAAATAGAATGAGGAAGTATTTAAAAATAGTTCCCGAAATCAAACTAGATGTCGCTACGGTACGTTCTTGATTTCTTCATGATAACCCCTCAGTTTTCTTTCATGTATAAAAGTAAATTAATTTTTAAAACTCATTAAACAACTCATATTCTATTTGTACTTTTTCTTATTTGTATTGATATATAAGTTTTGAACTTTGCAAATTTCAGCTTTTTAATTTGTTAGTTAAAAGGAAAGAAAATGACTCTCTTTCGTCAATTCGTTTACTGCAAAATCAACTTTTGCTAGAGTCGCCATCTAGTGAGGTGATTTTTTATTGCTTTCTTTATTTTTTTTAAATACTTCCTCATTCCATTCTTCCGAGAAAACATCGTAAAGTTCCCTTAAATCGGCACAGTCAATTTGCTACCTTTTATTGAACTTCACACCAAAGATGTTCTATTGGGTTTAAATCAGGGCTGCTAGTTGGCCAGTCTGAGACGGAAACGGATTGAGAGTGAAATTCCTCTACCGAGCGGGCTGTATGTTTTGGATCTTTCGAAATTTCCAAATAATTGGAAGAAGGTCTTCAGCGTAGGGTTACATTGTTTCTTCAAATATATTTTTATATTGAACTTGATCCATGTTTCCTTCTATAAGCCTAATTAAATGACCAGAGCAACCCCAAATTTTCAAGTTGCCACCACCATGTTTTAAAGTCCCCTTACTACCCTGATTTAAACGAAGATCTTCTCAATAAGTTAAACCGCTTAGTCAACAATGCAATTCGTTTTATTTTCTGCCTTCGCAAGTATGATCATGTTTCGTGTTATCGGTCTCAACTAAAATGGCTTCCTATTCGTCAGCGCAGACAGCTACGACTGCTCTGTATGCTCTTTTCCGTACTTTCTAACCCTAATTCTCCAAATTACCTTAAATGTAAATTTCAATACCTTTGTGATTCTCATGACAGATAACTTCGTTCTGCTAATACACTTGCAATATCTACTCCACTCTTCCATTCTGGCCTAATGGCCGACTCTTTCACCCTTCAAGCCATCACCACCAGCCCTTTTACGTCCCCACTGCAGGGGCTCAGGCCTTCCTTATGGATGGTTAAGGAGGATGGGCCATGACCCTCCACGCTGGCCCAATGCGGATTGGAGGGTATTAACGACTGCAAATGCAGCCGGGACCAACGGCTTAACGTGCCTTCCGAAGCACGCAGTAGCTCGGGACAATAATTTTTGGTCACCCATCCCGTGACCGACCCTTGCGAAAGTTGCTTAACGACTACGATCGCGGGCCGCGGCGCTTATCCACTACGCCACCGAGCTACTTCCATACGAGCCATACGACTGTGGAATGACCTCCCCGACACCATCAGACGATCTCTCCTAACAAATTCAGCTTTAAACAGAAAGCTCACACTTTTCTCTTGGAACGTTTATGAAGATCATCATATATATATTATATTTATGTATTTATGTTTATGTGTAGGTATAATATTTATTTAAGTTTATATAATTGTATATAAATTCATCTGTAGTATAGTTTAATATATTTATTAATTAACTTTATGCCGCCATCATGTATTTCTGTATCCCAAATGTTGACTGGTAGAGAATGCTATTAGCATTAAGTCCGCCTTTTGCACCAATTAAACAGTCAATAAAGTTTGTTAAATAAATAAGCATTAGAGCAGACGTCGCCCACGTACCATACCATCCATCACCATCAGAGTATACTCTATTTATTTAAGTTTCGTCAGAAAAAAAGTACATTTGACCACTAACTGTCCAAGTTTCATACTTTTTTGTAAAGGCGAGCTGTACTCGCCTGTGGCACTGTTTTAGCATAGGTATTCTTCTTGCTATTCTGCCGTACAACATTTCTTCTACTAAACGCTTTCGAATAGTGCGTGACGAGATCACAGAGGGGTTTCCTTCGCCAAGATAATCCTTTCTTTTTTTGTTAGACCCCTTGAAAGAATTTAATTTCACCAAAGGATTGATGTTTCTATCGTATCGGAGAGATGTTCTTATCGGTCGTGGCAGGTGTGGCATAAAGTGCTGTTATAAGTTTTAAAAGTTTCACTTATATTTTTTTATAAGACCAGTTCTTCTCCCAGAGTGGTCGGCATAATTTATAAACAAATTGAATATTGATATCAAATGTACCAAATAAAAATATAAAAACTATTAATATGTATGAACAAACAGTAACCGCTGAAATTCTCCAATAATTCCTGATTTTTTAGATGACACGGGTGAATTTATTATAGTAATAAAAAATGGTTTAACAATATGTCTTAAAACAAAATAAATAAAGTTCAATTTATTTATTCACATACTAGGTAGTTATAGTCGCAACATTAAAAATAAACGTTGACAATAGAATACAAATACAAAATAAATTTTACTTATGTTTGTCTACAGATTCAAGATGGCGTACAGGCCTCTGATGTTTCTCTTGTTCTTATGCATGGCGCAAGCGCTCGCCAACAGCGATGATAGATTCATCAAAAAATACGCTATGATGAAGGTAAGTGGAATAAATAATTACTAAATCTAACTGACAAACGGTCAGTTGCACAAACTTCCATTAAGGTTTAATGACGCTTTTAAGTTCTAACGAATGTCAAATTTATATGGGTAATGTCGCTTTAAACTAATTATGGACGTTTGTGAAACTGACTGTTAATTAATATTTCACAATATTATTCCTCACAAGATATTAAAAATGCAAAAAGTTCGCAGTCGGTAGGATTCGAACCTACGCTCCCAGAGGGAATCTGATTTCTAGTCAGACGCCTTAACCGCTCGGCCACGACTGCTGATAATAAGCGGTGCAAAACTAATGTTCACTATCAAAACCAAAAATATTCTTTTAATAGTCTTTGTTATCTTTATTTATTTTCCCTCTGGGAGCGTAGGTTTATATTCTTTAAATAAAACATAAAAAGTATTCATTATTTTGGAATTACGATTACATTAAAAAGTTGACACAGAAATAACGTTTATATAACAATTTGTTAAACAAATTATGTAATTATATCAAACTGATTAATTGGAAAAATAACTATAAACTACAATATTGTACAGGTATTCTTTTTTTATTATCTTACAGATTTATGAAAGTTGTTTCGGTCCTGAAGTTGTAAAACAAATCCGCAAAGAAATGAAAGAAGCGTACGCTAAGTGTTCAGCGCCACCTGTTGAGGAAGCTCCGAACTCGCCGCAAATTCCGTCTATCTTGCTCGGCAAATTGCCACTCGGTTTTTCCATGGACCCTAACACGCAAACCATTACTAAACCGCAAGATGGCAGCGCTTTAAATCAAGACAAAGAACATGTTTCTCAAGAATCACAGCCACAAAAACCGCCTCCAGGATCTTTTCAATTTAGACCACACGGGGTAAGATAAAAAATAATAATGATAAACAAAAATAAAATAAAGCAAAAGAATGAGTAGCAATGCCTCCTGTGAGGATTGAACTCACGACCCCTGGTTTACGAGACCAGTGCTCTACCACTGAGCTAAAGAGGCGGATGAAAGCGTGATTGAAATTAACAAATACAACGTGCAAGACATTATGATATTTTTTTTTTGATTTTATAAACATTATTGACAGTAATTTTTTATCTAACTGACAATCCATTTATATGATGTCCATCTTAAAGAAAAATAATTAAAAAATTTACTCGTTTCCTTATAATTATCTAGATTTTGAATAAATTTTTTAAATTGTCAATTATTATTTATGTTAACCATCCAGGAATATCGTGTGTTGATAGTACTTTCCCAGAAACTAATCACCAGCACAGACTAATCAGATTATAATACAATAATAAAAATATATACCTATATTAAATTCTATGTATATATTATTTTATCAAGAACAATTCAATCGAAAGGCACACAAAAATCTATTTATATTGCTCTGAGGTCAAAATCCATTAAATGAAATTAATTGAAAAACGTTAAGAAAACATTATTCGATATCTTACGTACCTACTAGGTATATAAGTTTCTAATTCATTATTAACAGGTTTGATTTAAAACCTTTTTAATCAAGGTTTTATTTAATTAAAGTTTTTTATATTAATTACGTAATTCTGACGAACTTTAATCTGATGTGTCTTTGTAATTTGGTCTAATTTAAAAGAAAATATTACCGGGTTAAATAGTTTTTAACCTCAATCATTTATCACGATGAGCCTCTGCAACGCGTGACTGCAACTTGTATTATAAAGAAATAGTACGTTTATAACCTTTGAATTTTATAATGCTTTTGAATCCCTGAAAGAATAACCGACTCTGTACTTATGTCATTATGTATCTAATAATGTTACAATCGGTGACTGGATATGGTCAGTAACCCCTACCTAACCTGTTCAGATTCAGACGCCGCAGCTAAATATAATTATCTACGCGATTATTTCTGAGTCATACATGTCTTACGGCGATGTAAGAGCACCATTTAATTTTTAATAGTAATATATAATTAATTAGCACTTAACATTATGAGTAGGTAGCAAGGTGATTAACAAATGTTGACCGCTAATTGGCAATTTATAATTATATTTGAAAACTTAACTATTTAATCTAATAAAGACCATGATAGTTTTGGGATAAAATATTTATAAAAAGAAGAATGTATGTAGACAAATAGACGGAAGCTTATATTTGTTATTTAGCATACTAGGAGTAATTTTATTATTATTTTTATGCCCGACGGCACAACTTTTACCTCATAGGATGGGTGACCAAAATTTTATTATGAAGGCAAGATAAGCCGTTGGTCCTTTAGCTTCGCACTAGGACCACGTGGTGGGTCATGTATTCCCCAATCTTCAAATTCGATTCCATCTATAGGGGAATTAGGATTTATATCCTATTTATATTATAATATGTCGCAGCCAAGTGGTATAATCAGCCGCCCACATATATTATATTATATCCATATTGTTGTTGAAATAAAAAATGAAAACAATAACATTATATTTTAATTTTATTCTTGCAATTAGACACAGTTTCAAGTCTTACGAATCTCAACTTACATCTTTACATCCGTATATAAGGCCTTATCATTCCACGTCCGCATCCGTAACATCCCTAGTAGGTACTTGAATTATCAACACATCTGTACAGTAATATAAAACGAAGCATATGTTAACAAACCATTAAACAATTTTTGTATTAACATATTTTCTTATTTTATTTTTCTTCAGAATCCGTTCCCTCAAGGGTCACCAATACCTCCATTCATGATGGCCACGCCACAGTTCCGACCGTTCGCGCCGGCTACCCCGTTCTACCAGTTCCCATATAACGCCCCGGGACTGTTCTACCCACCAAACATGCAATACAATCCGTACGCATACCAGCAGCAGTACCAGCAGAGCCTCTACCAACAGCCTTACTTCGGAAATAACAGGATGGCGGTAAGCATAATTTTTAATCAGCAAAATTCTCAACGAAAACCTATTTAGGTTTTAGAAAAGGCAGATTTCAACGAATCCAATATTTTTCGAATAGAATATAGATCTTGACTAATTCAATTAAAAAAGAAACGTAGCTCATAATAATGGATTTATCAACCTGATTTGATTGTCTAATTTTAAAATCTATTACTATCACTTTGAATTTGACATTTGAAAGACAGTCACGAACTACGCGCTACAACTATTTGACAACAATTACGATCGCGTCTTTTTTTTTAAAGATATTGGATGAACGATAACGTTTAATTGGCGTTAATCGTAATTGTCTAAACAAAGTGATAGTCACAAATATTTTTGAATGCTATTGATAAATATCAAACGAAATTAATTTACTATGCCATTTATATCATTCAGATCATTCGTTCCAAAAGCTTATTGTGACTTTAAAAGTAACACAATTCTATCAATCACAATCGCAACCGCTATACGTTTGAAAAGGATTGTAATAGATTTTAAAATTAGGTAATTAGAACATAAGTCGCTTCAACCTAATATTCGGACAGACCAGTCAGTTTGTCCGGACATTTGGATAGAAAAATCGGAATTATAATCAATAAAATAATCTTTATTACCATTGGAAGTAGGTTTAATTTGGTTGAATCTCTAATGCTGCGACAGCGCTGTATATGACGCTGTTTTAACAGAATATTTGGCTGGCTAAGATGCTACTTAGAACCAAAACTAAATGGAAGTTTTATTATCCACAGCGCGAGATAGATCTGCGCGAGCGGCTGGACATGATCTCCCGCGGTCCAGCGGCCAGTAAGGTCCGAAATATCACCTGCGTGATGCAGGAGTTAGGCTACATAGACCACAACCTGGAACCGAACTACGAGCAGATCACCCAACGGATTGCTGACCTGCCGGTCTCTGTAGAACTCAAGGGAGATATCCAAGATGGGTTGCAATTCTGCAGGAAGTTTTCGGTAGGCATTTAGACACCTATTTATGATATACCAAAAGATATCCATAGAAAAGAAAGTAGCAAAAACAGGACACTCTAGCAGCAAAAGTTCATCCAAATATAAATTGATTAGCGGTGCCCTCGGTAGACCTATTGAATAATAATCATAACATTATAACAAAAACCATCTGACGTATCATCCTACACGCCCGCTGCTTGGTATAACCTTTATTGTAACAGGATTTCTTCATAGTAACTTTCATAAGAATTCAAATCTACGCCTATTAGCTCCTGTGCAAATGCACCTTGAGCCTGGCGTAATGTAGACAGATATGTTACAGTGAAATAATACCTAAAACTGGGTAGCAGCAGCTGCAGTCATGAGTTTGCTTGAGAAATATAATAAAAAATAATTTTAATTATGTAACTCAACTTTTATCAACTATAGTTTTAAGATTTTTAACGAGGATATATGATTTAGGCCAAGGTATTTGTAACAGTTAATTTAAAAGGTAACTATACATCTCTAAAAATAAGTTACTCGTATCTGAAACATTTATTACAGCAATGTGTACCAGATGTGAAACGAGATGTGGCGCCTTTATCCCAAGAACTGATCAAGCCGATGTTCTTTTTCCGTTGCTACAAGGTTTGAATATTGAATAATATATATTGTAAATAAAAGGTTAAATATAAGTATCCTGTGTGTAAGGCCCAAATAATCATTTCGCTCAATCTGAATATTTAGAAGTAAGTGCTTACAAAAATATTCGACAATCCCCGTTTACAGAGCTTCATTTTGCTTGCTAGTTTCAAGGTCTCACCAGCACAAAACAATTTCAACAAATCAAAATAAGTAATGAAAATTTAAAAATTAATTACTAGTATAAATAACAATCACAGCAAATATCGTAAGCTTCAGACTTATACTTATAAAGTATCATAATCATATCAGCTCGGTGGCGTAGTGGATAAGCGCTGCGGCCCGCGATCGTAGTCGTTAAGCAACTTTCGCAAGGGTCGGTCACGGGATGGGTGACCAAAAAAAAATTATTATCTCGAGCTACTCCGTGCTTCGGAAGGCACGTTAAGCCGTTGGTCCCGGCTGCATTTGCAGTCGTCAATACCCTCCAATCCGCATTGGACCAGCGTGGAGGGTCATGGCCCATCCTCCTTAACCATCCATAAGGAAGGCCTGAGCCCCTGCAGTGGGGACGTAAAAGGGCTGGTGGTGGTGGAATCATATCAGCTGGGAAACGTCCACTCCTGGATAAAGCGTTCCGCAAAAATCGCCACGGCACTCATCCGTCGCTTCCAGACAATCCTAAGCAAATTGCCAGTCCATCCGTTGTCGCCACTCGGAGTCCAAAAGCCATCTGTCCTACGGCCTATGTGCACTGCCCATCTTAAATGCATCATTCGAAAAGTAACATGACCTTGCTATAATATTTAAAGCTCCATCATTACATTATACTTATTATTTTCTTTATAGCACAAGAAACTTGAAGCGTGCATCATGAAAGACATCAGAGAAAGATTTACAACAGAAGAAGAATTAGACACCGACACCGATTTTAGGTAATTGCTCCTGTTATTCTAATTTTGCTAGCAAAAAATACGTCTTTTTATACTTCATCCAAAAGATTTAAAGCTTAGATGTATGTACAAGAGCAGCTTTATTGAAGTTTTAAACCTAAACCCTATGAGGATATTATATAATCTAAGTCTATACAGCAAAATAGTTTTCTTTGAGGTACAAAAACAAAAATAATTCCGATTATTATCCTCAGTTTCTGTATAAAAAAGTTGGCGCTTTTGCCAAGCATTTGAAGTTGCACCATATTTGAGCCTAGATCCAGTAATGATTCAAATCAATTGCCACTAGCATGATTCATGGTCTTTTTCACTTAGCTTAGGAGTTACCCAAATGTATACCCTTGATATATATTTTTTAATTTACATTACAGAATTAAATATAGTTACATTTTTGTAAGTTTTTACAGCATTTGTAAACCACGAAGGTTTGTGCTATTGCTTAAAAAAATGTGTTTTAAAGTTTGTTTTATTATTTGCTGATGTAATATTTTTTCTTAATTCTGAGGATTGGGGGTACCAGGTACGCGGCAGTGCGTTCACCGTATATGTTTTTCGGTACACATTCGCCTCTCGCCTTTCTACAATGACTAAGAACTATCTAACAAAATTAGCAAGTCTAAAGTTATGTATGACATACGTTATGCGGCGCTTAGCATTAGATATTTGCTTAATATGACAGGTCATAAATGTGTCAAGGGATAACAGAAAAATGTTGATTGGAATTAAAATAATCTGCTAAGGCTATTCATAAAATTACCTAGTTAAGCTACGCCTTGTTCTAGATTAGTGAAAGCGGATGTCAGAATCACTCGTATGTGTTCTTTTTTAAATTATAATTTTACGTACCTATTTGAACATTATTTATTTTAATCTGAACGTTTCGATAAAGAGAAAAGTTCAAAATTCTGTTCATATATTTTTCAGATCGCTGTCAAGGTCAGCCAGGTCGATAAAGGATGATTTCAGTGATCCCCGGCTGGAGGCGCTCGACGAGATGGCGGTGTACCTCTACGACTACCTCAGCCAAGGCAACGGCCTCGACTTCGACTGGATGTAGATTGTAGACTTAAGACTGACTTTTACATTTACACACAGTAACATATTACTACAAAAGATTATTCTGCAATCAATTGTGGTCAGGCCAGTGGTCGAATTGGACTTACTCACTAACCGGAAAGCATTACCATTCAAGTTTTCTGTCTGATTGATATTTTGATTTAGGGAATTTACCTAAATTCCCAATTTTTTTTAAACTTAAAAATACCTAATGGTTTTATAATAATATACTTACTTTATGCACTCATTTGTGACGGACCTCTTTTAAAATATAGCAGAGTTATACGTCAGTTAGTCTTAAAAAAGGCTTTAGTTCCTCCGGAACGACGTAAGGAGAACTTTCACGAACTGGAACACCGTTCCGATACGTTCCAGTCCACACGGTCCGATAAGAGCACTACCTTAAAATCTACTGTATACCAGCCTTTTGCAGAAATTTTACGTGTATTACTATCATCGATCGATGAATGGAATGCAACCATCAAATAATTTGAATGGTGAATGATATTGTTGGGAATAAATTATTTTCTTATAAAAAAAAAATTGATACTGGCCAAGTCTCTATTGTAATTTCTTGGAATTTTTCTTTAATGACTCTTAAAGAGGTTTAAACAATAAATTTTAAATGATTACGTAAATCAATTAACAGTTAGTCTTTCATAAATGTTAATGTTAAAAATGATGTCAAAATTCTAATTAAAAAAACTTGCCATTCATGCTGGTACTTAATGAGTAACTCATCGTTATGTCTAGAATTTAAGTGAAATGTAAAGTATTTCATTTGGGTGTGTAACAGTTTGCTGATGGCATCATAATAGTAAATTACTGTTAACGTTATAAATGTTTTGTGAAAAAAATGTTGTAAAACATCCATTAAGGTTTAATTACGTCTTTAAGCAATTGGGTTTTGGTGACTCGATCTTCTTATTTGGGTAACAAATTGTTGCTGGTACCATATGGTAAATGGTATGGTAATGGTATGGCATATGGTACCATAGGTAAAAAAATAGTCAAAGGGGCGTCACATAAGATTACTTATCAATTTTTAAGTTAAAAATCCAGTGAAGAATTGTGAAAGTTTGTATAACGTAACCAAATGTTGCCCATTCATGACTTAAAGGCTTAATATGTCATTGACATTTTACGTCATTAAAGATGGAAAAACATGAATAAATATGAAAATCATTGAAATTATTATTATTTTCTGTCACTTAAAATTAAATATAATTACTTCATTAGCATTGTCAAGGCACACAAGTTTTACAAGAAAATGACAACAAAATTATTCAAAATTTATGTTTCCCATTTTTTTTAACTAATTAAATGGCGCACTTTGCTAAGACGCCTACGCATTGATATAGGTACATTAGAAGAAAGTATTATTTCGATTTTAGATGAAGCCAAAATGTATTCCGTTTTCGAAGAATAGTTAATTTATATATTCATTAATTGTACTTTTGTTGCTATAATGTGATACAATCAGCAAACTGAAATCTCTTGTCCTCGAAGCTTACTAGATTAAGCTTTGTGGATGATAGCTAGTTTATCAGGTATTCAACTTGTTTCTATTTTATAGGTGAATGTTTTCGAAATTACCCTATGAGATTACAACTTATTAAATTGCATTTATTAAATTATAAGCTAGGTAATTAAATTATTTTAAGCATTACAGTGTAAGAAAACAAACTTAACAATAAATCAGTTAAAACAAAGACAAACGGCATTTTACTCATGCAATATCTACAATTTGCAATGAAATATTAGTGATTAAAAGTAAAAATTGTAGATGTTTCGTACAAATCCCCATATATTAAAACTTTAAAAATATTGCATTATTCTCAGTTTTAAGCATTTACATCTACACATGTATAAAACAAAGTAGGCTGATATATTGTTATATACACAATGGACATTTATGCGATTGTCGACAACCGGATCGATTGATTCACGAAGAAGGTTTATTAAGTACAACACCGAACCAAGCAGGCGAAGCCGCGGGCGGAAAGCTAATTTCTTTTCTCTTTATTTTGGCACAAACAGTCATTTCAATGTTAAAGATATTACAATATATTGTAGACAACGAGTACGCATAATTACTTAATACAAAAAGAACAACATGAGTTACAAAGTAAATAACAGCTTATAAACATTTAAAGCTTACTTTAATATTTCATTGAAAGCTAATAAAAGGTTTACTAATTATTTGTATACGATAATATTTTAGTTACATTGTAGGTACCTTTAAAATGGTAAGAATTGTTAGTTAATATAATCTAACGAGACAGATTATAAAATGTCGATATTTACAATTTAACGGTGACATAGAATACAGGTAATTTTTGTAATCAGAATAACCTACTAATATGAGAGAAATGGATGTCTACAGCAGTTTTTTAAGTCATTATTGTACCCGGAATATGATTACAGATTTTTGTCAATATGTCTATCTATAGTTTATTTACTACTTACTATTATTCCCATGTTACTTTAAAAATAAACATCAAAACTTTAATTCAATAATTGAAATAAATATTAAATTATTTATATTAACATATGAAATTTCAAAAAAGTTTTTTTATTATGCCTATAACGATACAAAAAGAATATTGAAATTTGTAAAAAAAAACATGCTGTCATGTAAATTCGTAATGACGTCATTAATATTTGATATTGGAAAATGTACGTGACCCTATAATGAATGGAATAGTACTTACTGTAAAGGGCGGGAAAGGTGAGCGTCTGTCAAATACCATGACACTGCAGGTAATTTCCTTGTCAGCAATGTCGTTGGTGTTACGTAAGTGTTTCATGATGTACCCATTGCGTGTGAGCACTAACTAATCGAATACTTATTGAAAATTCTATTATTCTTTTTAATACAGGACTGACGGAGCCTTGATATTATTTGTAATAACAAAATGAATTCATATAAAATGTAGTAAAAATAATAATTTTATTTTCATAATACACATTAAGCTAAAAACACAAAATTTTCTATCTCTATGAATATCCGTATTAAGAACATTTAAGTTATGTTATAATATTGTAATTTTTACATATTTTTTTAATTGTTTTTACAATAATATAACTTATAGTACTTATAACTTTAAATTTATAAACATGTTTTGATCTTTATTTTTACTTAATAGCGATAAACAAACTAAAAATAAGAAAAGAAAAATTTGTTTCTTTATTTATTTATTTATTTCATTTCATTAACCACGTTGTAACATAAACATTACATCAGGCATCAATCAATCATAACAATATTTAATTTAGAATCGGTATAATTCAATCGGTATAACTTACTGATTACAAATTTTACCTGTATTCTATGTGATCGTATTATTTAAAACATCGTCATTTTATAATCTGTCTCGTTACACAAACCATCATAGACTTAGGTTCGGTTAGTTTATACCGATTCTAGTATTATAAAATAATGACAGCTACAATTTATACCTATACTATAACTCATTATCAACCTAGATATCGCTTTGTGTAAATAGGCTGTGGACCTTCGATATTAATAGTGATTATCATAAAATAAATGCTTAAAAACAACATACCTTTCAATCAATATAACTGGCACTAATTTCATGAATAAGATTTTAAATATCTTGACATTAATAATAAGTAGTCAGAGTTTTTATAGCAGGTTTAGTTATTATTCTCACAGTAGGAAGGTATTATATAAAGATATTTCATGGTATAACTGTTAACAGAATAAAGTAGAACTAAGCACTGACCTTGGTGTTAACACCAAAAGTATTTTTAAGAACGTATGGTTATTTGGAAATAAAACCAACAATACAGCATTTGAAAAAGTACTCCGAATAGCTAACAGACTGCTTACTCCAATTTTTCTCACAATGTATAGTGTATTTAAAGCAGGTAAAGAAATTTTTGCAAAAAAAGACTATGCCAGCTTTCACGGTGAAAGTTTTGTTGAAAAATGTTGCACGGACAAACATCGGTGCCATACTTTTTATTATTATAGATTATCGAAAAGGGACCGGGAGTGGACCCTTTCTCCGAAACGTAATGTTACCACAAAAGGGTTTTGAGTTTCACAAATAGTTGTTTTTTTTTTAGATTGAGTTTGCACATGCTTATTCATTATTATGCAGAAACAGAACATTTCGAATGCTTATTCGTTTTTTTTTGCTATATACATAAATACGTTTTGGCAAAATAAGTAAGTAATTAAATTCGATTTTAAACATATAATATATAATTTATTTAAGAACTTTTTGAAGCACCCTTATATAGATGCCCTTTTAATTCAAATTTGCTAATTTTATATTTGAAAACATCCGAAAACCATATAATTATTATCATAATTACTTTAGAAATGTTAAATAAAAATATTCAAGAACAATTAAGATAGGCATGGATTTTTTTAATATATAGACAGAGGAATAATAATTATATAACCGTGTAATACAGAGCGACCTATACTCCATTCATTATAGCATTAGACAGAATGAAAATAAGGTTCTTTTTATGGTATACTTTGTGACAAAATGTCAACAATATTATACTCTTAAGACTAACGGCTAATTTGCTACATATCCACTTAAATACCAGCTGCTATACTTGTTGTAATATTATAGCATAGATAAATGGTATAGTCTGTTTCCGGTGTACTGTATCCTGTGTGTGCAGGTCTGTGATTGTAATTGTATCTGTGATCATCATAGGAGAGTAGAAAATTAAACAAATTAAAAACATTAAAGACTTTAATTATAAAACATGGCGCAGTCGTAACAAAAAGTATTTCTGTATAAAGTTTAAAATAGAAGGCAAAGATAGTCTACATCATGGAAGGTCAAGTAAAATTGCCACCCAACTTTGATATACGTTCCGGCAATGCGGCGTCGGAATGGAAAGTCTGGAAAACCTCTTTCGAAGACTACTTATTGTGCACAGGTAAAGATAGTGCCACTGATAAAATCAAGTTGTCTCTATTAAGAAACATGATTGGTATAGAATCTATACGAGTTTTGGCTACTTTACCGATCGAGAAAGCCGATGACTATGCAAGCGTAATGGCGGAAATAGAAAAATAT